GGACCAAGGTTCAATCCCTGGCACCACATGCTGTGCCAGCCTCGCCCTCAAGGTGGGCTAAGCCGGCAAAAAAAAAAAAAAAATTGCAGTATAATTCAGTATTTGTAAATACACAAGCAAGTGCCTCAGGACTAGTGGTTAACCTCTGTGTAAATAGATGAGCTCGAGACTTACTGCCGAATGACCAGCCAGAGCAGACACGTCACAGGGACGCCGTGCGCATTTGATGACACGTGGAGGCATGGTGTCTAATATGAATCTTCATAACCGTGGTTCTTGTTACAACATGCGTGCTTAATGCACTTCCATGAAATGAAGCATTCTCTGAATTTTTATGCCTGCAATTTTCATGTTTGTGGACCATCATTCTTATCTGCCATCATTTTTGTTCCCACTCTTGACTCAGTCTTTACTTAACACGTGATTTTAATGGTAAATTTAAAGGGAATCAATGTGCATTGTTATGTATGAATAAAATGAGAAGTCCCCTGAACATAAGGCCTATTGTGTGCTTAAGAGCAGGGGTTGATATAAGACTCAGTCTTATTTTCAGGGAAATATATAGATTTTAGGATTGAACAAATATTAGCATAATGAGACTGGCAAAATAGCTGAGCAGACTAAGCGCCTGCTTAGGCAAGCACGGGGGCTGCAGTTCGATCCCCAGTACCACACGCTGCATGAGCCCTGCGCTCGGGAATGCTGAGCTGGCCACCGAGTCTGGGCATGATGGTGCACATCTATAATCCCAGCACTGGGGAGGCTGAAAACAGGATCACTCTGAGTCCGAGCTGCGTAATGAGACCCTATACCAAATACATAAATTAAAATCAACAAAAAGAAAAAATCTAAAACAATATTACCATCGTGGTTATTTGACTTGTACCTCAACAAGCCCGTTAGTGTGTCTTTCTTTTGGAGACTTACTCTATTCTAATTATTAATGTGTTTTTTAAATAATTAAGTTTTTCCAAACGCTTCATCAAATAGCCATTTTTGCTTTCCAGGATCACATATGACAGAAACAATTTTGATACATTTCTCATCCCATTTGGCTTTGCAAGAACAAAGATTATAGTCGTTTACAGGAAAGTAAATGAACCTGTTTTCTAGTTTAGTAATTCAGAAGCTTTTAGTGCTGCTATTCTTTCTCAAAATAGACCAGAACGGAGAAGTCAAGGAAAACCATAATTCCTGGAAATTAAATGAAGATGAAGAAAACACAAGTTTGATAGACAATGTTGCTCCTGAACTTGAGAAACGCAAAGGAAGTGAGGTAGCCACTAATGACCTTGAAAAAGACAAGGAGAAAGCTGGGCCAGGGGTGGAAGAGGAGGGTTTCACCGCTGCTCCCCTGCCACTCAGATCTCTGAGGTCCGTCGGGCCACCCAGCGGAACGGCTCCTGCACAGGTACTGCATAAACTCAAACCTTTCATACCACAACTTACACCTTGAGATGGAGCATTAAACTATTTTATTTATCATGTCACGTATTTCTGCATTACCAGTGGCGTTACGCTGTGATTGTGGTGTTACATAGTTCTTCTTGATGCGGTAGAGAAGTTTGCAGTAAGTAAAACCTAGTGTTACCTGAGGCATGTGATCAAAATGTACTTTAAAATTTCTCAGAAATTATGACTGTAACAATAGGTTTAGATAATACAGCTGTGTGGACCAGTTTCTGGGGTTTTGAGTTAGTGAAACTTTCAACAAAATTTTGGAGCATTTTAATGAAAATCTTTAAGAAATGTTTGTCAGTGTCAGCGAATAGGTAGATAGATCATTCTTAGGAACACTATAATTGTAAACCTAAGGAAAAGATTTGTGGTGTATAGGACTACTTGTTCCAACAGTAGATTGTACCAGCGTTCCGCACCTTTAAAACTATGCTATCACATGTGTGGGCTCTCTTTCTCTTGAATGTAGCATTTATCTCTTGCAGCAGCAGGTAGCTACTAGCTTCTTCATTGATTACTACGGAAAGTGTAAAGAGGTAGCTGAAAACTGGGGTTGAACAGCGCTTTCACAGTACAAACTATAGTTTGTCTTATGGAAATCGATAGGGAAGGGCATCAAGCAGCGTTCCGGGTGTGTTGCCCTTAGCCGCCTGCCCTGGACAGGTGCTGCTGCCAATTCAGGGATGAGCCCAGGCCGTGCTCACCTCCCGCGGGGGCCCTCCTCGCAGCACAGGAGGTGAGGCCTGCACTGCTGGCTTCTCATCATTAGAAGGAAGTGCACACTCCCACCACCACCAGCTCCAGCCCGCGCTCACTGGCTTCTGTGGCTACGCACTCCTCCACTCACCTTTGTTCTTGTTGCTTCCCCTTCTTGAACCTTGTGGGGTTTATTTTAAAACTCTCCATTCTCAAGCCCCCACGTGGGCTTCCCACTGGTCCTGCTCGCCCTTGCTCACACTAGCCCTGGCAGGCGCCTTCCCAGGACAGCTTCGTCACAGCAGCCCCAGCCACGCCAGCCACTGTCCCCACGCCCCGTGTGTCTCTGCATGACCTGGGCTTACGTGATTGTGGTTCAAGACCCTGTTTGAAATTTGGCGTCCTGGTCCCTAGGGCCTTCTGTGCTTGATGTGTACTCAGTAGATAAAAAATGCTGACTTCCTGATAGAGGAGGCTCCATGCCTGTGATTGCTGATGGTGAATAACCTATCTGTTGAACTCTCTGTTTGTTAGAAAACAATCGAAGATAAAAACACGAAGAATAAAAAGTCAACAACAAATAGAGCGTCCAGTGCCTCAGCCAGGTAGGAAGCTGTCAGCACTGCTACCCAGGGGTTTGAACTCAGAGGAAGACTCACTTCAATCTCAGTCCCACAAAACAAGTTGCCTTTGGTGTTACTCGATTTACTGCTCATTTCCATCTTAGGAGATGCGTTGGGTATTTTGTGTTAAAACCCCTAACACATGAAAAATTGTCCCGGAGGCTTCAGGCTTAGGGACTGAGTGGGCCTATTAACCAGATGAGACTGAGTGGCTTTGTCCAGGCTGTGCGGATGAAGGTTGCTGGTCCTGAGTGCCAGTCCGGGTCTTCTGAAGCCTTCAGATTTCAGTCAAGCAGAGCTTGGCCAGCCAGGCTGTCCTGGAAGTCTTGTACGTGCCTGCGTCAAGCAGTCCGGGCCCCTCTGCCTTCTGCAGCAGGAGCAGGAAAGCAGCACACGTCGCCAGAGTGCAGATGGATTAAATGTCACTGCGGGTCGGGAAGTTCTGGTCACCAAGACAGAGAGTACACTGATCTTGCCCTCAACCTGAGAGGTTCAGGGCACTGCTGTTCTTTGGGGCTTTGTAGCTAGTGTGGTTCCTGTAACAAAATGATACAAGGAAACATTGGAAAAGTAAAGAAAGCCTACTGACCAATTGCTTTCTTTATGTAATTTGAGACATGGTCTGTACTTCTTAAAAAGGCTCAAATTGAAAACACCTAAAATTAGCAGTCACGCTGAAGGTATAGACGTTACATTCTGCTGGTAGGACTTCTATGTAGTGGGAAAGACTACTTTTTTCCTGTATCGCTTCCGAAGTGATTATAATTTATTAAATAAAGTTACGGTTCTCAAGTGTGATAGTTGCATACTCTAATAGTTAATACTATACATACTAATACTGTACATACTCATAGTTAATACTATACATACTAATACTATACATACTCTAATAGTTAATACTGTACATACTAATACTATACATCCTCTAATAGTTAAATACTATACATACTCTAACAAGTTAAAGTGCTCTACCTTGATTTATTTGGAACTTTTCAGATTAATGACTTCTGAGTTTGCGAAGAAATCCAGTTCTGTACGGAGGACTCCAGGGCCGGCTGCCTCCTCCCACTACTTAGGGCCTTTGAAAGTCTTGGACCAGAAGCCCTCACAGAGGCAGAGCCTGGAGCCCGACGGAGCAGATCACATCAGGGCAGCAGTGTACCAGGTGAGAAAGAAGTCTTTGCATGGGGGCAGTGCCAGATCCCACTTCCTTGAGGCTGTGTGTGTGTCGGAGAATGAGGTGACTGGCAGAAACAGGAGCTCGGTCCTTCATTGGATGACATTCTTCCTTACCATGCATGAACAACACAAAGCTGTTGCACCAAAATTTTTGCTTCTGCACTAGAACTGATCTTAGTTGTTTTTAAGGAAAGAAAACATGCTAAAAGAGTTTTTAAAAATAGAGCAAAGTCTAAAACTTTGTATGATCTATATACATTATATCCTCTTTATCCTTCAAATTTGTATTATTTAGTAGCAAAAAAAGGTGTTTGAAAATTTTCTTTCCTGTGATCTTGTTAGACTTATACAGAAAAAGGCTTTCCTAATTTTTTCATAGTTTCAATATAGGTCTTTTTTGTCTTCTTTGTTATATAAAATAATACATTTTAAGAAATTACACATACATATTTGAGAGAGAAATGTTAGTATATTCAGCCTTGATACCTAATCTTTGAAATTTATATTCTTACTACTAAAGAGGATCAATATACATGATGGTGTGCACAGGAGTTTTTAAGAAATATGTATATAGATCAATTAGTTTTCTGTTAGAAAAAGTATATTAATATTTATAAATTTATAAATTTTATTTTCCATTTAAAAGTTTTCAGAAATAAATGAGATTTCTAATTCATTGAGTCAGTTTTTGAATATCATGTAACCTTTCTCCTATTCTCACAGAAGTGGTTAGAAAAGAAAAATGTACATTTACATGAAAAGAACAGAATAAAAAGAATAGAAAGTGAAAACTTAAGGATCCAAAATGAACAGGTATGGAGAAACAAGGAAGTGAATTTCTCAATATTTAACCTTTCTGATTGATTGTTTTTGAAATGGTGAACTGACTTGTACATAAAAGACTTGATTTGCAAAATTCTTTGTAGTAGTTTATTATATATTTTGAATTTGACATAAATATAACTATTTTACATGAAAACAGAGATATAGAAGTTGGTATTTCATTTTCCATGTGTAGGACTGATAGGGCTGCCTGTCACCATGTGACCATCCAAGTCACTGCCAGGAGTTGGCTTCAGTAGAACCTGACCCCGGCAGTGCAGGACCCTGCCCCCTTGCCTTCTGTTCTCCTGCACTGCAGTAGGGGGGCGTTGTCCGGTCTGCCCTGCCCAAGCTCCTGCCTGGCCTACCTGCCCCTCTCTGCACCTGTCCAGCAGCCCACAGCCTGCTCAGCACTTTGTGTCTTTGAAACAGAAGCACACTGCTCTTCAGCATGAACTAGCTTTAGAAGGAGTGTTTCAAAGGGATGCACACCGTGGTCCACCTGGTGCACTCCACCCGGCGTGGGCCTGTTCCCCTGCAGCATGCGACACAGCGTGCCGGCACCATGCTGTGCACGTCCACTGCACCATGCTGGAGGGGGGGCACTTTACTCCCAAGCGAGGAGTCCTCGGCACAGTGGTGTGTTTTCTAATTAATGTTAAGCAATGCTTGTAGCAGATGTTGGCTATTACAAAAGTAGACAGACGTTAAGTAAAATGCCACACTTGCAGTGGAGTCAGCTGTGTATTGTCCAGTCTAGCACAGATTTTCAGCCTTTGGTATTTATTTGTGAAGTAAGCACTTGGTTTCAACATTATTTAAATGTTCAGGACTGAGGCGATAGCTCAGGGGTCCGAGCGCCTGCCTGCCACGTGCAAGGACCTGGGTTCGATCCCTGGTTCCACATGTTGTGCTGGCCCCAGAAGCCCAGGTGCTTCATGCCAGCCCTCGAAACTGGGCGTGGTGGCACACTCCTGTGGTCCCAGCACTGACTGGGGAGGCCAGGACAGGAGGATCACTAGGAGCCCGAGCTGCTTATCAAGACCCTGTACCTAATTAATTAATTAATAAAACTGGGATTCAAACCAAAGATCTTACTGTGGGCCTTCACCCATTCACCAATAAGTTACTTTATAATCTTACAACGTTTTAAATTTTTTCTGAAAATTTTATGGTGCCACTCAGACAGTTGTAGTTTATTTTGATAACTTTTTTTAGAACTTTGAAAAACATTGCATTTTTCACATGAATAATAAGCCTGATAAGGCTTATCAATAACAATATCTGATAAGCATCTTAGAAAACTTCACATAAGAATGTAATGAATAATTTCAACAACATTTTTATTTATTTATTTTGTGTGTGGGGGGCAGTTCAGCCCACCAGGGGGCGGCGCTGGCTGGCATGTGGTGCTGGGGGATTGAACCGCGGTCCCTGTGCTCTGCTTAGCTTAGTTTGTTCTAAGTAGGTGCTCTAGACCACTGAACCATCTCATCAGCTCACAACAACATTTTTAAATGAACCAACTCTTCAAACCGACCTAAATAAATTATTCACTTTAGAACTTCAGTTCTGTGCACCGTGGCTGTCAAGGGATTAACAAATACCTTTGCAAATCTGAACGTGTCTTTCTGTCCGTCTGTCTGTCTGTACACACATTTATCAGCCTGCTGTTTTCTCCCAAATAGCAAAGAGCCGCTAAGAGGGAAGAAGCCTTGGCATCGTTCGAGGCCTGGAAGGCTGTGAAGCAGAAGGAGGCGCGCAAACGCGCTGCGCAGAAGCGGCTGGAGGAGGAGCACAGGAGGCGCGCCGAGGAGGAGAGCGCGCAGAGGAGGGGCGAGGCGCTGCAGGTGCGCGGCCGGCCGGCGGCGGCGGGGCCGCGCTCGCTTTGGCGTGTTCGCGGTGAGCAGCGTGTTGTTCTGAAATTTTCCAGGCATTCGAAAAGTGGAAAGAGAAAAAGATGGAATATCTTAAAGAGAAGAATAAAAAGGAGAAGGAATATGAAAGAGCCAAAAAACGGAAAGAAGAAGAAACTGTTGCTGAGAAGAAGAAAGAAAACTTAACCGCTGTTGAAAAATGGTAAGTGAAAATCAGGTGCTTAGGTGGATCCGGGCTTAGCGGCGGCTCGGGCTCTTCCGAAATGGGTTGAGGCTTATGACGCTCCTGGACGGCTGCCCAGGCTGTGTCGGGGAAGCTCACTGTGGATGCTCCTCTAACGTGGAGCCTTTACGTTCTTCGTAGGAATGAAAGAAAGGAAGCCTTCTTTAAGCAAAAGGAGAAGGAGAAAATCAATGAGAAAAGAAAGGAGGAACTGAGAAGAGCTGAGAAAAACGATAAGGATAAGCAAGCCATCAATGAGTATGGGAAGTGGCTGGTATGTACTAGCGCCCGTGCTCCGGAGGGTTTTGATCAGCGCTTTGGTGCCTTTTGTGCCCGATTCAGTTCTGTGTGCCCCGTGCTTGCTGTCTCTCCAAGAGGCTGCCTGTGGGATCTGTTGCCTCCCCTTGCGTGTTTTGTGTTTTCTTTGATTTACTAGTTCTATACGTGCTCCTGTTCTCTCGGGCGTCCAGGGCCTAATTTCCGTCACCGCATTGTCCCTTGGCCCAGTGCCCCCTTTTCTTGCACCTGCTCTCAGGGAGCAGACGAGGGTACTAATCAGCGCACTGGGTTTCCTTAGGTGAACTTGGTCATGACCCACAGGAACACTGAATTTAATGATACACTTACCTCTATTTTTAATTTTTTGCTATTTCTCACAACTTCAAGATAAAGGGCTTACAGATGCTTCTTAATGAAGGAGCAAGTTTGAGGTTTGAACATAAAAATATCCAGCTAAACTTTTGCCTTATACGAAGATGTGATTGAACAATAAGGTAATTGTTAAAATGTTTTTAACATAAATTACAGTAAAACAAAGATTGCCAGTAATCCCTCTCAAAACTACCCCCCCCACCGCCACGAACGCAGTCTCCCATCATTCTTGCGTCTTTCTGAAGCAGTTGCAGTCTTCTTTTCTGTCTTCAGTTGTGCTGTCAAGACTGCTTCTGTGCCTGAAATGATTAAACCTTTATCTTTCCTGATCAGTCTGGCTCTGGGGAGGAGCCAGCAGGTTAACAGTGCCACATCCAGGGGAGCAGGTAGGTGGAGCGCCCTGAGGTGCTGTAGGAGGGGCCTTTTCAGTGGCGGGCACTGCATGGCTGGTTTACTGGACTTCATCGTGTCTCGGAAAGGGCAGCAGCATTTGCAGCAAGGTGGAGTATTTTAAAGGGGATTAATGGCAACGTGTCGTACAATAATACACTTTCTTACATGTTCACTGTGTATTTTGAAGATACCATATATAATATATACACAGATACACATACACATACACATGCACATGAATTTGTCCTAATGCATGGTAGGGAAGAGTCCAGCCTTGTTTTCTAAATCCGTCTTTTTAAAAAAGCCCACGTCTTAGTCATTGGCTTGATGTTGTCTTTATTAAGCGACACATCCTGCCAGGGGGCCTGGTCTGTAGGCTCTGTCTGGTGGCCTCGTTGCGCACACTCCCCTCACACAGTTCGTTGCTGTGCTTCTGTGTCCGCGTCTCTGCTCGGCTTCGTCTCCCAGCCTCGGTCTTCCTTCACAGGACTTCCAGTGGTTCTTGTGTTTTCGTATAAACTTAGAATCAGCAATTGTTAAAGAGGTACATGAAACCAAAGTGAGCTATTTAAACATGAGATAAAAGTAAAGTCCTTAGGCTTTATCTTGAGAAATAGGCAAGATCAAAATAAAGAAAATTTTAGGGGCTGAGGAGATAGCTCAGTGGAGTAAGTGCTTGCCCAGCAAGTACAAGGTCCTGAGTTCGATCCCTGGTACTACCAAATAATAATAAAAAAAAAAAAAAAGAAAGAAAATTTTAGAACTATCCTGAAGGACTCAAGATAATACAACAGAATTCTTAAAATACTTACATAATTATGAAAGGTATAAGAAAGGTAGCACTCTTCTGAAGTAACTTAAGGCAATCCTAATTTTAAAAAACCAGAAATAGTTTATTCTTATGGATTGACCTTGGTATAGTAATTTCATGCAGAGAAATAGCATAAAAATAAGGTGATCCAAATTGTTCACTGTGAATGGAAAGGGTAATGTTCCACCCGATTTCTTTACCTTGCAGTCTTGATGCTTCATTCCAAAAGAGGTAAGAGTCTGCCCATGTTAGGATGTGTCCCGCCACTAGTGCTGGGCAGTGACGTGTGAAGGCTGGAGTTCTCAGTTGTACGTCCACATTTTTTTGTAAATGGACTAAATGGGTTGATGACTGCAGCACAATTAGGCCGCACTATTTTTGTCTGTAGTATTAATTTCCTTCTCATTCTCCTTAGATCTCTAGAGAACAAAAGCTTAGCAAAGATTAAAGACACAATAACATGATATGTAGTAAGACTTTAATAATGCTATGAATAAAAATTTAAATGTCCAACTTATGACAGATTTACTCTAAGTTGAACTTTTTTGGTACTGGAATTGAACGCACAACCTCATACTTGCCAGGCGCACACTGTGTTGCTGAGCTATATCCCCAGCCCTAAATTGATTTTTTTTTTCAGACAGAATAGGGAAATTCCCTTCTGTGATAGTCTAGTGACTTCAGAATTTCATACAATTATTTAATCATTTCAAAATTTGATGTACAGTCTCCATTGTGTACTGTACATATGGTGAATAAGTGTCCTAAGAAGAGAGTTATAACCAGAGTTTAGGTCAGGCTCCCTTCCTCATGCCATTTCTGAGTTTACTCTGTTTTCATGAGAAAATGAGCATCAGGCGCAGTGGCACACACCTGAGGCCCTGGGATCACAGGCGCATCGCCGGTACCCAGGAGTTCGGGCCAGCCTGGGCACACAGCGAGACCTTGCCTTGAAAATAAGCCATTCAGTCTTCTACAGATAATGGTCAGAAAGACTTCTTAGTGGTCCTTAACCACTAACTCATGGACTGTTGCTGAGTTCTCTCGGTTACAGTAAGGTCAGCTGGTTTACTGTGGGAAGCCCTTCAGCGTGCTGCTGCTAAGATCAAACCTAGATGGCAGCCCAGATCAATGGGAGCAGTTGTGTGGGAATGCAGATCATGCACCCCGTGTTGCTCTGGTGGCGTCTTCAGTCAGACCTGTGCTGATGATGGAGCACAGAAGCCCAGAATACCACAGTGCCTGGCCTCCAGGGCCCTAGCCTCTGGGTTGTGTAAGGCTTGCTGCTGCTGCTGCTGCTGCTGCTGCTGCCGCCACCATCGCCCAGCAGGAAATCAGCGCGATCTCAGTAAACCCACCATCTTCACTTGGCACTGTGCCCAGATGCGACCATGTGACCCACTTGTCCTTTCAGCTGCTGGATGGTGGTGCTTCCCTGTTCCCCACGCTGTTGTGGCTTCACCCTCCAGTCTCGCTCTGTCCTCGTCCCCTCACCCACGCCATGTAACTATAGAACTGCAGGTGTCCGCCACCCAGCTGGCTCATCCTGGCTGCTCTAGCCCCTGTGGTCCTCTGGTGGGCATTGTGCACAGTGGCCTTGGTCTCCCCACCTCTGTCCCCTCCACTGGCGCCCAGGCTGCCCTCGCCTTCCTCCTCCCACTGCCGGCTCTTTGGCCCCTTTCTTCTGGATTCTGAACACGGACGCGGCCTACAAGCCCCACGTGTGCTCCTCATCTCCCTTCTTATTCGTCTGCTGCGTGCTCCCCCCACCCCACCAGCACGAGGAGTCACTGGTGCGTGAGCTGCTGCCCCTGTGGGTGCCCTCACCCCACGCCTTCCCAGGTGGCTTCTCCTACCCAGTGCACTGCACTGCCAGTGAGGTGACTCCCTGACCCCACCTTTCTTCTAAAGCAGGTACTCTATTCTTTGTCGCAGCAGGTTTTTTTTCAGTGGTCTATAGCAGTTCTCGCTACTTGGAATTTCTGTTTTTCTCATTTGTTTTCTGTCAATTTGGAAGTTTCCTGGGAGATGGGAGCAGTGTCTGTGATCTTTGGTCACTTTCCTGGCATAGCATAGCGTCACCAGCTGAGTGACTGCGGAGGCTGCCAGCGAGGGGACAGGCAGGAGGGCAGCTCGAGACCCGTCCCACACGATGTATGAGAGTGCACAGGTCAGGCTCACCTGCTGAGCTTATGTGTGCATTGTGCATAAAATCCCTTCAAAGCATTGCCTTACCGCAGAATAAACTCCAGAAGAATTAATGTGGTAAATATAAAATGCCAAGTGAAAGGAGAAGTCAGTCTGATCAAATCTTATGGGAACAAACTGCTTTTCTAATAGTAGAAGAAATCATTGAGAAATGAACAGAACAGTTATCAAGTTGAAACTTGCTACACGTCAGGGAAAAAAAGTCAGCCACTTCGTGGATGAGTTCCGACCACTGCTTTGCAAGCTGCCTGACACTGTCCAGGGCAGTCCAGCTTGCATACCTTACAAGTCTTGTGCTTGTGCATGTGTGTGGAGGCAGACACTAACTGGTGCCCAGGGCAGCGGACCAGGCTGTTTGTGGCAGTGTGAAGAAGGGCAGTAGCTGCGTGCGGGCCTTCAGCGGCCCAGCTGCACAGTGCTCACATGCACACGCTGGACTCCTGCTCCTGAACGGAGCATGCAGCTCCATGTGGGTGGCTCTCGTGGACACGAAGCGACAGACAGGAGTTTCCCAGTGTACGCCGTACCTTCTAGTAGAAATTCTAGGAACCCTCAAAGTAAGGCTGCTCTTGTGTGAGTGTAAGTATGTGTGTGGTGAAGTCATAGGGGACGCATGGCAGCATCATTAAAGGTCGAGTTGAGAGCAGAGGAGAAGAGGTCAGAGACTGTGGGAGCAGGTGGCCCTGGCTGCGGAGATGCGGCCTGGACGGGCTTGCTTGAGGGCAGGAAGCGCGCGCCAGTATCTGCGTGCTGCTGGTCTTCGCACAGGCTTCTGTGGTTGAGACAGACGCAGCACATACTGTACAGAAACGTAAGAACTAAAAAGATCAAAATGTGTAACGTAAAGTAATACTAATTTAAAAGTTCAAAAATTGCTAAATATTAAAAATGTGAAATTTGGTTAGATGGCCCAAATAATGTAACAGAAAATATATGAAAGGAGCAAACAAATGTTTGAAATTCTTTGAAGCTCAATAATAAGTAAAGAAATAGGTACATTGTCAACTGTTTGTAAAATATTTGGGCTATAAAATACCACATCTTTTCATCCATTCCTAAGCTGATGGGCATTTGAGTTGTTTCCAAGATTTAGCTCTGACAAATTGTGCTGCTATAAACATGGGTGCACATATATCATTGTGGTATGATGTTTTTAATTCTGGGAAGACCCCAGAAGTATTACGTAGCTATAAAGATAAGCATGAGGCTTGTACAGGTAAATGGATGCAACTAGAGACCATACTCATAAGTGAAATAAATCAGACTCACATTTGTAACCCTCGTACTGTCCCTCGTGTAGGAACCTGAAAGAGTAAATAAGGTCCAAAAGGTGCAGTAGATACAGTGAAGGGAGAACAAACTGCTCAGAGGAAGAGATGCACTGGGAGGGGAAAGGAAAAGAGAGGGAGATACATGCGTAAGATGATTGTGCTGCGAACTTCTCTTAGCTCATTGGAAGGACCAGTGCCCGCTGCTCCGTGCTCTGTGCCCGCTGCTCCGTGCTCTCTGCCCGCTGCTCTGTGCTCTGTGCCCGCTGCTCCGTGCTCTGTGCCCACTGCTCCGTGCTCTCTGCCCGCTTCTCCGTGCTCTGTGCCCGCTTCTCCGTGCTCTGTGCCCGCTGCTCCGTGCTCTCTGCCCGCTGCTCCGTGCTCTGTGCCCGCTGCTCCGTGCTACTGCATGCCCCTGTGCCCGCTGCTCCGTGCTCTGTGCCCGCTGCTCCGTGCCCTGTGCCCGCTGCTCCGTGCCTTGTGCCCACTGCTCCGTGCCCGCTGCACCGGGCCTCTGTGCCCGCTGCTCCGGGCCTCTGTGCCCGCTGCTCCAGGCCTCTGTGCCCGCTGCTCCGTGCCCTGTGCCCGCTGCTCCG